GGAGCTGTTGGGGATTGACTTTCTGGGTCTTTCTGCCATTGAGCTACAACCCTTCCCCAAGCGCCAGCTATCTTCACTCACTCGCCACTGTGAAGTCTAAGGAGGCGCTGGTCTTGCCAATGCCATTGCTAGCCAGGCACTCGTACATCCCCTCGTCGTCCAGGCCGACATCTTTGATCTCGAGTCTCAAGGAGTTTGGAGAGGCAGCGGCGCTCAGCCTGTGGTTTGGCGCCCGGCTGGCTTGGAAAGAGCTTGATGCAAGGACTTTGCTGCCTCGGAGGAGGGAGAGCACAGACCAGGGGTTGCTTTCGACAGAGCACACAATGATGGCCAGCATCCCTTTCTGGGTCTCCAGGAAAGACTTCACCCAAGCGTTCCTGGGAGGATCTTCCAGTAGGGGGAAAGAGGAGAGAAATCAGCAGAATCGGGGGACTGAGTTATGCAGCAGTAACAAAAAGATGTGCGTACGCATTCTGGGTTTAAAATGTAGCCAGGCCATTCTTTTTCTCAGTTTTGATCTAAGCAAGGTTTTGGGGGGGATGCATCAAAATGCAGCATAGTGTGATTGCGTCTTATGTACAGGTAACTTGCGAGATTTCGACTGCTCAAAAATTATGCAAATTAGAAGCATCATACTTGCATTTTTGGTGAAGGGAGGCAGGGGTAGCGTTAAGGGGTCTTTTGCGGCAGGCCTCAGTTCTCCTGATCCTTATTTATTTATTCCATAGAATTTATGCACAGCTCATAGTCTCAGTGCTGCCTTTGTAGAACTCAGCAGGAAGGAGAAGAAAGCTACGTTTGGCTGACTCTGCCTGCCGCTGTCTCTTGCGCCACCTACAGGTGGCCTCCCTTCCTTCTGCTCCCTTCCACAGGGACTGGGCAACAACAGTTTGTAAATTCAGGGACTTACAGAGGACGTTCAGAGTGCCCAAGGAGGAGTTCCGAACCCTCTCCTGGTTCTTCACTGTGCAGTAGTAGGAGCCAGCATCAGCCACTGTAGCGTGGGGAAGTGACAGCATATTTGATGCGTCTTCGGCGTACCACCTGTTGTTTTTATACCAGGTGTAGTGCGGATCGCCAGCTGCATTGCTGTCAGCTGCACAGGTGAGGTTCACTGCATTCCCTTCGAGAACATCCGGAGGAGAAATCCAGATTCTTGCAGCTAAGCAGACCGACCATGGAAGGCAGGAAAACAGAGCTCTGTTAATGGGCAGATCTAAAAAAGGAAGGCTGCTCTGCAATGCAGGGATCTCTGCAATGCCAACTTGGGGCTCGAACACCCATGACCTTGAGTGTCAGGATTTACAATGTCTCTCTCTCATACAAGGCACGGCAAGCTGGCAGGTTAATTAAAAGTAAAGGGACCCCTGACCATTAGGGCCAGTCGTGGCCGACTCTGGGGTTGTGCGCTCATCTCACTTTACTGGCCGAGGGAGCCGGCGTACAGCTTCCGGGTCATGTGGCCAGCATGACTAAGCTGCTTCTGGCGAACCAGAGCAGTGCACGGAAACACCGTTTACCTTCCCGCTGGAGCGGTACCTATTTATCTACTTGCACTTCGTGCTTTCGAACTGCTAGGTTGGCAGGAGCTGGGACAGAGCAACAGGAGCTCACCCCGTCGCGGGGATTCAAACCGCCGATCTTCTGATCGGCAAATCCTAGGCTCAGTGGTTTAACCCACAGCGCCACCCTTGGCAGGTTAATTACTCTTATTTTTTTTTTAAAATAATTTTTATTGCATTTTTCAAACACAGACAGAGAACAGTAAGAGGGCAGGTTAATTACTCTTAGAGTTATTTAGTAATTACACAGTAGCTGCAATCTGAGCTCCACTGGATGAATCAGTTGGTCCCACTGGATGATGCTGTCTGCGCCAGCAGGATATCCTCCACCTTTTTCCCCACCTCCTGCTGGGCTGACGTTGCCCTAATACCCGGCTCTTCCTCCTGCTCTGAGGAGACTCAGGTGCAGCCAGCCCCTCCTCCTCTTGAGCCAAATCTAACAGTGGCTGTTGCCCTGCAGCCGGCTTCAACAGATTGCAATCCAGAGCGAGATGGACTTACATCACTCTCAATGTGGGAAGGAATCAAGTCTCTACTCCCCCCCCCCCCAGTCTGCCCTCTTTCCTCTCCGGAGTCCTCGCTGTTGCTCTGGGGAGGAACATCCCTGACATTGAGATAAAGAGTCTCATGCTCTACCTGCTGAGCCACCCGTCACACAATCGCACCCCTTCTCCTACTCACTCTCTGCGATGAACGTCACCGAGGAGCTGGCGTTGCCGTGCACATTGCCAGCAAAGCAGAAGTACTCTCCTTCGTCCTCCATCACCACGTGGGAGATCTCCACTCTCAAGCTGTTGTACGAGGTTGATACGCCGACCCGCGGGTTGGGTGCCACCATGCCAGAGTTGATGGTGGAGGCCAGGAGCTCACCACCCTTGTAGACGGCCAGCTCGGACTGGGGCTCGCTCTGGGTGCTGCAGTGAATGACGGCCACTTGCCTGCCCTGTGTCTGAAGGAAGGAGGTCACCTGAGGTTTCCGAGGCGGATCTGTGCAGGCAGGAAAGAGACGCCAGCTTTAGGGTCGATGGTGGGGACTACCTCCTTTCCAGCTGATTGTTGACTCAGGACAGGCAAATGATTATTACTTTATCCTTTATTGTATTTATAAAACTGCCCTTCCTCAAGAGACCACAGGGAGGTTTGCAACATAAAACACAAAATACTTAATATAATAATAGTAAGGGAGGGGGAGAGAGAGAAAATACCCTCATGTTGTCCCTTTAAAAGGCCATAGATTATGAAAAGATTTTGTCTATAAACTCTCAAGGAGACACACAACCGGATTTTTGATCACCTGTAGGCAGTGCCATGGAGGAATCCAGTTTGAAATGGCTTGGAGGTCCCTTGGAGCTTCATTAACATGTGACCCAGGAATTTTGGATCCACTCCAAACCGATGCCAACGTTTTGGGCTCATTTTGGGCCATTGTGTGTTGCGAATCCCCACCCTCCAGGGTTGGATTTTAGCCGGGATACCTATGGCCCCTGGTTTGAGTATCAGTTACTCCCTTTGAGGGGTGGCACAAAACGTAGGGTCTGTGGCACACAAATGCTTTATTGTGTTTTATATATTCTGTAAGTTGCCCAGAGTGGCTGGGGAAACCCAGCCGGATGTGGCGGCGGTGGTGGTGTTATAAATAATACAATTATTTTTATTTTTATTAAAACTCTTGCAAAAGTTTGGCACTGGTTTGGAGTGAATCGGACGATGTAGGGTTTTGTGGAGGGTACCTACGGCTCCTGGTCTGAGTATGAATTACTCTGTTTCAGGGGGTGGCATGAAATGCAGGGTTCGTGGCACAAAACAGCACAAAATGAGCACAAAACGTTGGCATCACTTTGGAGGGGATCCAATTTCCCAGATTTCCAGATTTCAAGGTCACATGTTAATAATAATAATAATAATAATAATAATAATAATAATAATAATTTATTTATTTATATCCCGCCCATCTGGCTGGATTTCCCCACCCACTCTGGGCGGCTTCCAACAAAATATTAAAATACAGTAATGCATCAGATATTAAAAGCTTCCCTAAACGAGGCTGCCTTCAGATGTCTTCTAAAAGTCTGGTAGTAGTTGTTCTCTTTGACATCTGGTGGGAGGGCGTTCCACAGGGCAGGTGCCACCACCGAGAAGGCCCTCTGCCTGGTTCCCTGTAACTTGGCTTCTTGCAGCGAGGGAACCGCCAGAAGGCCCTCGGCGCTGGACCTCATTTTTGTTAATGTTAATATTAATGTTAATGAAGCTGTCCCTTGAGATTGTAGCATTTCCTCATTGCATGCTTAATGTCTGGCTATCGCCCACCCCAAGCTGAGTGCAGGGAGTCTAATCCAGGTTAGGGATGCTGCCGGCAAAAACACCGCCACTTACAAAAGACAGTTATGCTGATGGCTGGAGAGACGCTGGTGCTGGCCTCATCCAGCATGTGGGCTTTGCAATGGTAGGATCCAGCGTCGCTGCTGGTGATGGCCTTGAAGGTGAGTGTGCTGGCATCACTCTCTTGGAGGCGCTTGCCGTTTTTGTACCAGGAGAAGGTGGACTCCTCGGGAGCAGACCCCATGACGTCACAGCTCAGGGTGAGCGCCTCTCCTTCCAGCAACTCGGGGGATGGCGAAGCCAGAACTCTTGCAGCTGGATTTGGGAAGAAAGTCAGGCATGGGGCCCTTAATCTCAGGGTCACGGGTTTGAGCCCCAGGTTGGGCCAAAGATTCCAACATTGCAGAGGGTTGGACTAGATGACCCCTGTGGTCCCTTCCAATGGAACAATTCTAGAATTCCAGGAGTTACCTAGCTGTGAGATAATGGAAATAGAAATAGAAGGGAGAGAACAGCCAGCAGAGACGTAAGAAGAAGGAGGAGGAGGAGGAGGAGGAGGAGTTTGGATTTGATATCCTGCTTTTTACTACCTGAAGGAGTCTCAAAGCGGCTCACAATCTCCTTTCCCTTCCTCTCCCACAACAAACACTCTGTGAGGTGAGTGAGGCTGAGAGACCTCAGAGAAGTGTGACTGGCCCAAGGTCACCCAGCAGCTGCATGTGGAGGAGCGGGGAAGTGAACCCAGTTCACCAGATTACGAGTCCACCGCTCTTAACCACTACACCACACTGGCTCTCCTACATCACACTGAGTGGTGTGGGGGACCCTCCCTCCCCCAAACTAGGAGGTCTGCCCGTATTAGAGAACAAAGGATGAAGAAGAAGAAGAAGAAGAAGAAGAAGAAGAAGAAGAAGAAGAAGAAGAGGAGGAGGAGGAGTTTGGATTTGATATCCTGCTTTATCACTACCCTAAGGAGTCTCAAAGCGGCTAACATTCTCCTTTCCCTTCCTCCCCCACAACAAACACTCTGTGAGGTGAGTGGGGCTGAGAGACTTCAGAGAAATGTGACTAGCCTAAGGTCACCCAGCAGCTGCATGTGGAGGAGCGGGGAAGTGAACCCGGTTCACCAGATTACAAGTCTACTGCTCTTAACCACTACACCACACTTCCTGTTAGCGCCCAGGATGTTGTGAGGGCCAGAAAGAGGGAGGATCTGGAGTAGCCAACTGCCCTCCTTGTGGAGAGATGTGGATTTTTGCTTGCAACCAGACGACTGAATAAAAAGGACTATAAATGATAAACTGCTCGTTAATTCTCGTCTGTGAAGTTGCCGAAGGGAGGAGAGGACTCTCCACGCCTGGCAATACGGCGGCAACATTGAAATAGACACACGGCTATTATCGGCACCACAATCACAGCCTCTCTGCACTCACTCTGCACACGGAAGTACAGCAGCCTGGAGGAAGAGCCGTAGGCGTTGGTGGCTGTGACGTTGTAGCTGCCTTCATCCTGCGGCTCAATGCCTGTCATCTCCACCCGCATGGCGTTGGGAGCAGCTGTGATGCTGACCCTCTGGGATGCTGCACTGTTCGCTGAGCTGCTAGAAGCCACGACTTCACCTCCTTTATACAGGACCAGTTGGGCTGGAGGGTTGCTGTCCACTGAACACTGGAAGATGGCGACCCGACCTCTTTCCGTCTCCGCAAAGACCGACGCCTGAGGCTTCCCAGGGGGGTCTGGAAACAGAGGACACACACGTAAGACCCAGGCTTTTAACAAATGAAACCGTGCCAATGTGAAATTATATAATGCGAAATTGCATTATAATTAACAGTGCCATATGTTTTATAGGACTGAAACTTCAGAAGAAACTATAAGAAGTTGGATAATTATATAATGCGAAATTATATAATGCGAAATTATATCTCTTGCTCCGACTGAGTTGCCTGACAACTGATCAGATAATAGCATTTAATTTATGCGATGAAAATGTATAACTTTGACTAGAGAGTGTTTGGCCAATAGTATGTTTTATAGGACTGAAACTTTAGAAGAAACTATAAGGAGTTGGGAAATAAAGAGAAATTTGAAGGCAGTGGGTTGGGAGGAGCAAGGATCAGAGGGAGGTCCCACAAGGGCTATCTTTCAAGGTTATAGTATCACCTCAGGGAGGTTCATTTGGAGCCTAATATTAATACTTTATACCCTACCCATCTGGCTGGGTTTCCCCAGCTACTCTGGGCGGCTTCCAACAAAGTATTAAAATACAGTGGTCTGTTAAACATTAAAAGCTTCCCTAAACAGGGCTGCCTTCAGATGTCTTCTAAAAGTCTGGTAGTTGTTGTTCTCTTTGACATCTGGTGGGAGGGCTTTCCACAGGGTGGGTGCCAACACCAAGAAGGCCCTCTGCCTGGTTCCCTGTAACTTGGCTTCTCGCGGGGAGGGAACCGCCAGAAGGCCCTCGGAGCTGGACCTCAGTGTATGGGCTGAACAATGGGGGTGGAGACGCTCCTTCAGGTAAAGCAGGGTTTTCTTTTAACTGTCCTAAATCTTCCAACGTTCAGCTTTGTTGGATGTCCACAAATTCCAGTGTTATGAGAGAGGAAGAAAAACTTGTCTCTATTCTCTTTCTCAAGGACACACATAATTTCATACACATTTATGATGTTGCCTCTTTTTCTAGCATTACATTTTGTTTGTCTGTAAATCCAAGAGCCATGGCCCAAAGACGGGTGGGGCTGGTTACAGAGGACATGCTGTTTTCCTACATAGATGTGATATCCTGGATTATCTCGTATGAAATAGATCTGAGAGCAGCTGATTAATTTACAGCCATGAAGTCAGCTGACGGGAGGGAATCGCCTTGCCTACCTTTGCTATATGTATATGAGATTTTTTTGTGTGTGAGTGTTTGCGGGGAGATACTTCTGGAAGTCTAATGTGATAGCATCTTGAACATGGGTAGGCAAACTTAGGCCCGGGGGCTGGATCCAGCCCAATCGCCTTCTAAATCCAGCCCACAGTCTGGGAATCAGCATGTTTTTACATGAGTAGAATGTGTCCTTTTATTTAAAATGCATCTCTAGGTTATTTGATCACTGCAGATGGTGACAGCAGTCATGAAATTAAAAGAGGCCTGCTTCTTGGGAGAAAAGCAATGACAAACCTAGACAGCATCTTAAAAATCAGAGACATCACCTTGCCAACAAAGGTCCATATAGTTAAAGCTATGGTTTTCCCAGTAGTGATGTATGGAAGTGAGAGCTGGACCATAAAGAATGCTAATTGCCAAAGAATTGATGCTTTTGAATTATGGTGCTGGAGGAGACTCTTGAGAGTCCCATGGACTGCAAGAAGATCAAACCTCTCCATTCTTAAGGAAATCAGCGCTGAATGCTCACTGGAAGGACAGATCCTGAAGCTGTGGCTCCAATACTTTGGTCACCTCATGAGAAGAGAAGAGTCCCTGGAAAAGACCCTGATGTTGGGAAAGATGGAGGGCACAAGGAGAAGGGGACGACAGAGGACAAGATGGTGGGACAGTGTTCTCGAAGCTACCAGCATGAGTGTGACCAAACTGCGGGAGGCAGTGGAAGACAGGAGTGCCTGGCGTGTTCTGGTCCAGGGGGTCACGAAGAGTCGGACACGACTAAACCACTAAACAACTAGGTTATTTGTGGGGCCTGCCTGGTGTTTTTACATGAGTAGAATGTGTGCTTTCATTGAAAATTCATCTCTGGGTTATTTGTGGGGCATAGGAATTCATTCATTATTTTTTAAAATATATAGTCTGGCCCCCCACAAGGTCTGAGGGACAGTGGACCAGCCCCCTGCTGAAAAAGTTTGCTGACCTCTGATCTTGAACAAAACTGCAAAAGGCAGAGACTCTTACACAGCACAGACAGGGTGGCGGCGGTGGAGCTCTTTCTGGCTTTCTCGTTCTCCACTTGGCAGCGATAGTTTCCCGAATCGCCTCTGGACACTCGCTGGAACTTCAGGAAATCCCCATGGGCCTCGGGAAGAGGGAGACCATCCTTGTACCAGGTGTAGTTGCTTGAGGTGGTGTTATCACTGCTTACCTTGCAGGACAGCTGGACCGCCTCACCTTCACGCACCGCTGAAGACGGGGAGACGGTGATTCTTGCAGCTGGAGGACAGTTGGGCGGGAAATAAAACAGGGGCAATTGTCAGTTGCAATTCCTGCATTTAGCTGTGGTTGTGGTTCTTGTGTCCTTGATGCTGGGCACCACCCTGAGATCTTTAGATAAAGGGCAGTATATAAACCGCAGAAATAACTAACAACAACAGAAATTGGAAAAAAAGAATTTGTGCCAACGAAAAAGGAATGGCAGGATAAATTATTAGATTATACTGAATTGGCCAGATTAACAGAGACAATTAGGGGACAACCTAGACAAGAATTTAAAAAAGAATGGGGGAAATGCAGAGAATACTTTACCAAACAGTGCCCCCCAAATATACACCAGGACTTGTTTCGATTAATTCCTACAGCAGACTTTGCGGTTTTTAAAGTCATAATCAGGAAAAATTGTAATAATCACATATAAAAGAAACAGTATACAAGAAGTAAATAAGGAGGCCATTTACAAGATAAGGGAAATTTTATTTTTATGATATGTTTTCTTTGTGTAAGGGGATAGGAGTTTAATTTTGATATGTTTTAATTGTCAATGGTGGTGGGTTTGTTTGTATGTATGAGCTGTTGTGGATTATGTTGTAAATAAATTTTAAAAATTTAAACAACAACAATTCCTGCATTGCAGGCAGTTGGGTCCCTTCCAACTCTACAAGTCTGTGATTCAGAGGTGAATGCCTTAAAGGGGAGTAAACCCTAATGGGTTAACACAGATACAGCAGCAATCAATCATAGAAGGGACCCTCAAGGGGCATTGAAATATACTCGGAGTCAAGTGTGGATTTCATGCTCTTTATTCAGCTCATAGTAGTGAGGAATGAAAGTTCCCCCAGAATGTCTGCTTTATATACATTATTTACACAATGAGCCGCACGTGATTGGCTAATTCCAGGACTGTAGGCCAATCAGGTTGCGGATGCACTTCCACCAGGAGCTGGATTGGGTGGCTCCTGCGGACCAATCAGACTGCTGCATTCTGGATCCTATTGTTCTAGGACCAATCAGACTGCTGCCTTTTGGATCCTATTCAACTCAGTACATAACATGCCACTTAAGGACGGCAGGTAGGAAGGAAAGAATATCAGGGTCTGGATGTAATATAAAGCGTAACCTCCATTTGGGGGGGGGGGCATTTTTGACAACTGGACCGCTAGCTTCTCAAATCTCTGTGACTTACTTTCCGCCGTGAAGTCCATGGAGGCCGTGGATTGTCCATAGCGGTTCTGAGCAGAACAGAGGTACTCTCCTTCATCTTCCAGCCTCACGCCCTTGATGGTCACCTTCAGTGTGTTGTACGCCTGGATCACGCTCACTCTTGGGTCGGCGGAGGAGTGGGCAATGGTGGTGGACCCGATGAGCGTGTCGCCCTTGCGCAGAGTTATCTCGGAGGCCGGTTCGCTGTCGACTGTGCAATGGATGACGCCGAGGTGTCCTCCTCGGGTTTCCAGAAAGGACCTCAGCGCAGGCTGTTTGGGGGCATCTTTGGAGTGGAAAACAATCCGTTATAATAATAATAATAATGTAATAATAATTTATTATTTATACCCCGCCCATCTGGCTGGGTCTCCCCAGTCACCTTGGGCGGCTTCCAACAAAGTATTAAATCCAACTTCCTGCAATGCAGGAATCAACCACGACCCTTTCCTGGAACAAAGCTAAGTGTCCCATCATTGCTCCACCCACCTTCGTGTTAAGTTGTGGGTGAACATATCAGACGACACAGCGATTCTTCAAACAGCTCTTGTTTATTCAGAGGCCAGAACAGAACTGAACTCAAGGGTTCAGCCAGCCTGCTTATATAGAGCTCCAGTACCACATTACTGTAACAACTTTCTAAAACTATCCAATCAAACTTAACTCTGGCGACGAAGGTGGGATCAATGGACATCAGAGCACAGCCAGATGCAGCCACCGTCTGAACTGAGCTGAATCACTGAGCTGAATCACTGAACGTCACTTTCGATCCTTCATTTGCATAACTATCTACGGTATCCCCCTGCTGGCCCAGGGTGAGAACTTCAGTACATAACACCTTTCCTCTAGCACCACCCACCAGTGACATGTGGGCCCTATAGGGTTCCCATAAGGCAATGTGGCCCTTGGGTCCCCTACCCCTGCTCTAGACCGCTATGGCTCCAGCCACGTTTTATGAGATGGGTCGGATGGGCTACTCACACAAGACGCGCAGGGTGATGGCTGGCGATGTGCTGCTGCCCTTCTCGTTCCGAGCAACGCAGTGGAATGTTCCTGCATCACCGCTGGCCAACGCCGCAAAGACCAGGGAGCTCTCCACCCCCTCCTGCAGCCACTTGGCATTCTTGTACCATGTGTACGTGGTTCCATCTCCCAGCTCCAAGGTGGATATGCAGGTCAGGGTGACTCGCTCGCCTTCGGGTAACTCTTGGGAAGGGCTGGCCACCACCCTAGCAGCTGGGAGAAGAGCAAACAGAGACCGTTGATCATAGAATCATAGACTAGATTAGAATTTATTATTTATACCCCGCCCAACTGGCTGGGTTTCCCCAGCCACTCTGGGCGGCTTCCAACAGAGTATTAAAATACAGTAGCCTGTTAAACATTAAAAGCTTCCCTAAAGAGGGCTGCCTTCAGATGTCTTCTAAAAGTCTGGTAGTTGTTCTTCTCTTTGACATCTGGTGGGAGGGCATTCCACAGGGTGGGCGCCACCACCGAGAAGGCCCTCTGCCTGGTTCCCTGTAGCTTCACTTCTCGCAATGAGGGAACCACCAGAAGGCCCTCGGCGCTGGACCTCAGTGTCTGGGCTGAATGATGGGGGTGGAGACGCTCCTTCAGGTATACTGGACCGAGGCCGTTTAGGGCTTTAAAGGTCAGCACCAACACTTTGAATTGTGCTCGGAAATGTACTGGGAGGCAGTATAGGTCTCTCAGGACCGGTGTTATGTGGTCTCGGTGGCCGCTGCATTCTGGATTAGTTGTAGTTTCCAGGTCACCTTCAAAGGTAGCCCCACATAGAGCACATTGCAGTAGTCCAGATAACCAGAGCATGCACCACTCTGGCGAGACAGTCCAGGGGCAGGGAGGGTCTCATCCTGCATACCAGATGGAGCTGGGAGGCAGCTGCCCTGGACACAGAATTGACCTGCTCCACCATTGACAGCTGTGAGTCCAAAATGACTCCCAGGCTGCGCACCTGGTCCTTCAGGGACACAGTTACCCCATTCAGGACCAAGGAGTCCCCCACACCTGCCCGTCTCCTGTCCCCCCAAAACAGTACTTCTGTCTTGTCAGGATTCAACCTCATAGAAATGTGGAGTTGGAAGGGCCCCGAGGGTCATCTAGTCCAACCCCCGTGCTGTGCAGGTACCACACCCAACTGGTGAGTGGTGTTGACCAAGGAAAGCTAGAAGGGCAAGCCCTAATCAAGTGGAGATACAAAGCGGTTTCATACTGAGCCGAACCACTGGACTTCGCAGCTGAACAGACTCTGGGGTCTCACTCTGCTCTGCCTGAGAGTCTTTTAACTGGAGGTGTTGTTTTGCAATATAAAAACACAAAATGCATAACATAACAATATAAAGAACAATACCCCACCACGCATTTAAAAGGCCATAGATTGTTGAATAGCCAAAGCCTTGGTTGATGAAGAATGCTTCTTTCCTGGCACCTAAAGATTGTGGGATGTGAAACACAAGAGCAGTCAAGTACAACATTCCTAGAGTGAACATGTTTGCACATGGGGAGGAATGTTTGTCCATGCCTCAGATAAACTTCCTGTTTCCTTCTGGGCTGGGGCAGACTTCCTCTGCATGTGACTAGAGGTGGGTGTGGCCTCACCTGTGCAGGTAATGACAAAAGCACAGGGCAGGGCAGCCATCTCTCTCTCTCTAGCCAAGAGAGGACAAAGGGACTGTCTCCTTATGAGATAGTTTCTAGGTGTATGTAACTTTTCTAAGCTAAGTCTGCCTTCTGGGATCCGACTGTGAACAGAATGTGAGTAAACTCTTTTTATACTTTTATACAAGACTGTGTCGTGTCTTATCTTTTATGAGGGAATAAGGGGAAAATACCAGGTTATTACAGAGGCTTTAACGAGCCTGAGCAAACGTATCCGCTGCAAGTTTAAAAAGGGGACTGTTACTCTGCTAAATTGTGAACTTGTTAACACGAGTTGGAAAGGCTATTATCAGACAATATATCCTCTCCTGCATCCCTGAACATGCCCACAAAGATATGTAACTAAAGCACCCGGTGAGCCTCCCTGGGGAGGGCGTTCCACCAGTGGGGAGCCGCTACAGAAAAGGCCCTGTTCTCGTGCTGCCACCCTCTGAACCTTTTGTAGAGCAGACACCCAAAGAAGGGCCTCTGAGAATGATTGCAGGGTCCGGGTTTGTTCACATGGAGAGAGGCGGTCCTTGCAGCCCTGAGCCATGTAAGCTTTCATAGGTCAAAACCAGCACTTTGAATTCGACCCAGAAACTAATTGGCAGCCAGGATTGGATTTATATGCTCAAAGTGGCTTGCTCTGGTTAGCAACCTGGCTGCCAAATTCTGCACCAGTTGAAGTTCCAGAGGCAGCCACACACACAACCCATTGCGATAATCTTACTTTGAGCACCGAAGAATCTCGCAGTGGTGGCGTTTCCGTACGCGTTGGAGGCCACACACTGGTACTCGCCCTGGTCTTCTGGAACGACCTTCTGGATTTCCAGCTTCAAAGAGTTGCGTGTGGTGCTGATGCTGATCCGCTGGCTGGGAGCCGAGTGCGAGCTGGTGGTTGCGATCAGCCGCTTGTCCCGGTAAAGGCTCAGGGTGGACTGGGGGTTGCTGTCGACGGTGCAGTAGATGATGGCCAGCTGCCCTTCCTGGGTCTCCTGGAACAAGGAGAGGGAGGGGGCCCTCGGAGGGTCTGTGCAGGAGAAACAAGATCATTGCATGCACACCTTAGGAGCAGGTACATTTCCAGTTAAATAGGAGGGCCTTCCTATTTAACAGAAACGCCGCACTGATCCCAAATTAGGACGGAGAAATTGGCCACTTTCAGTTTCTCTCGTCTTTTATGTCTCCCTTCTTAAATTCAGTTCTCCACATTTCCATGTTAGCTTCCAAAACATTGCATGTTACATATGTGTGTGTGCATTGTCTCCTAACACATACATTCTTGCATGCCATTTTCTCTAATATAATGCTTTTTTGTATGTCTTTCCCACTAACATGCGCACGGCTGCGCACACTCTCTGCTCAGGTTTGCACTTTTGACTGGAGAGCTGCTCTGCAAAATTCATGGAAGTGAGAATTTCAAAGGAGAACTGCGTTTCGGTTTGAGTATTTTCCCGGGAAGTACAAGTTAGATAAGTTTGCATTTAAATGAGGACTGAATTTCTACTCTACACTGAATCCCAGCTGCCTAAAGTGGCAGGGAATTCCAGGATCGGCTGCAGAAGTCCCTCGTCTCACAATTCTAAGGCCTCATCCACACTTAATTTTCCTCTGCTCTTTCCATGCAGGGTCCGTGCTTTAAAGCTCCGTGTCCAAGCTTCCCTTCTCTGGAGCTTTCCCCCAGAAAAATTGCTCTTTAGAGCTCAATTGGAACAAACATCAATCTGTGAAAAACCCAAATTGCTGCCGGCTCTGATTTGGCTTTAAAGAGCGGTTTGCATGGGGAAATCTTCGGAGAAAAATGGGGAGGGAGAAGGACCTTTGGACACGAAGTGTTAAACCACAGACCTCTGCCCTGAAAAGTGTGGGGCGAAAATGAAGTGTGAATAAGCCCTGTGCATGCTGCTTCCCATTTCAAACTGCCATTTTGCATGTGGATTTCAGGGTTTTAGTAAAAAGCAAGCCGATACCTAAGTTGTCTCCGCAAACCTGACACCTTCCCATCCTTGGCTCAGAGGATGGCAGGCTGGGCATCCGGCACGCAGAGCTCTGTCTTTCCACACCTCAGTGCCACTTCCTGCCCCACAGAAGCCAACACCGGACAATAATCTGCCTAATTGTAGGGCTGGCCCTGCAGTTCATCTCTATGGTTGTGACCTACCCTTGGAATATCATATAGGAGCCTGTGTGGTGTGGCCGTTGGACTAGGACCTGGGAGAACAGGGAATAATAATAATAATAATAATAATAATAATAATAATAATAATAATAGATTATTTATACCCCGCCCATCTGGCTGGGCTTCCCAAGCCACTCTGGGCGGCTTCCAACAAAATTTTAAAATACCGTAATGCATCAAACATTAAGAGCTTCCCTAAACAGGGCTGCCTTCAGATGTCTTCTAAAAGTCTGGTAGTAGTTGTTCTCTTTGACATCTGGTGCGAGGGTGTTCCACAGGGCGGGTGCCACTACCGAGAAGGCCCTCTGCCTGGTTCCCTGTAACTTGGCTTCTCGCAATGAGGGAACCGCCAGAAGGCCCTTGGCGCTGGATCTCAGTGTCCGGGCTGAACGATGGGGGTGGAGACACTCCTTCAGGTATACTGGGCCAAGGCCGTTTAGGGCTTTAAAGGTCAGCACCAACACTTTGAATTGTGGTCGGAAACAAGTCCCCACTCAGTTCGCCAGGGGCCAGACCCAGGGCTGTCTTAAGCATATGCAGCACCGGGGTGCAAAGATCTTCCTGGTGTCCCCCCCCCAGGTTGCCCAGTCCCAGGCATGCAGGAGGGTGGAACCGGACGGCCAGCTGCCTCAGCATCTCGCTGTCTCGGTTGTCCCCGAACTCGCGGCGCAGAGCCGCCCACAGCAGAAGAACCAACTGCGGCGCTCTGACCAACAGACGGGCTCTTCCCCGGACTCAACTCTCGGGCCCCAGACTCTCAGCCTGGTGTCCCTGAGAGCCCGGTGCCCGGGTGCCCCGCACCCCTAGCGCCTATGGATAAGACGAGCCTAACCAGACCGTATCTCTCTCAGCCTAACTGACCTCACAGAGTCATCGTGAGGATAAAATAGGGAGGAAGAGAACCAGGTACGCCACCTTGAGCTCTTGGAGGTAAGGGGGGATAGGAATGTAATAATGTTTTTTTAAAAAATAAATCTTTTAAAGAAATGAAAGGATGGATTAAAGCAAGGCAGTATGTTGATTGCTTCAGAACTATTATTTCTATCCGTATAGAATTTCAGCCAATTTGTTCAGTACCCAATCAAGTGAAACTTGATGGTTTTGTGAATCAGTTCCATTTTCTTTCATGGGAGTGGGGACATCTTTAAGCAACTGTATTTCAGCTCTATGCCAGATGACCCCCATTTAATGCAAGGATTTTGCTACAGGCTGAAAAACATTCCTATCCACTGTTGGAAAGGTTCAGCTGGAGTGGGGAATAATAATAATAATAATAATAATAATAATAATAATAATAATAATAATAATAAATGCCCCACCCATCTGGCTGGGTTTCCCCAGCCACTCTGGGCTGCTTCCAACAGAATATTAAAAACACGATAAAACATCAAACATTAAAAACTTCCCTAAACAGGGCTGCCTTCATATGTCTTCTAAAAGTCAGATAGTTGTTTATTTCCTTGGCATCTGATGGGAGGGTGTTCCACAGGGAGGGCGCCACTACAGTGGTACCTACAGTGGTACATGAAAAGAATGCAACCCGCAGCGGCGCGTCTGCACGGGTTGCGACGCGCTGCTTCTGCGCATGCGCATGACGTCATTTTGCGCTTCTGCGCATGTGCGAGCGGCGAAACCCAGAAATAACCCTTTCTGGAACATCTGGGTCACTGCCGGACGTATCTTGAAAGAACATAACATGAAGCAGACGTAACATGAGGTATGACTGTACTGAAAATGCTTATTAGATGGATTTCCCCTAAATTGATTTCTGAACTTTGAATTTTATTGTCATTCATGTTTTTATACTGTATTTTATGCTGCTTTTACAATTAAGTGTTTTAAATTTGTTGTTAGCCGCCCTGAGCCCGGTTTTTGAACTGGGAAGGGCAGGGTATAAATAAATTTTTTTTTTTTTTTTTATTATTATTATTATGAGAAGGCCCTCTGCCTGGTTCTTTGTAACCTCACTTCTCGCAATGAGGGAACCACCAGAAGGCCCTCGGCACTGGACCTCAGTGTCTGGGCTGAACGATGGGGGTGGAGATGCTCCTTCAGGTCTACTGTATATATATCTACAGATGCCCCCGGATGCTAAGCCACAACTCCCCTATTTGCTGACCATTAACCATGCTGGCTGGGGCTGATAATGCGGGTTGGAATCCAGCAACCTCTGAGAAACCACAGGTTCCCCATCCCTGATACGAAGTGTGCTCTGAACATGAAGCGCAAGAGGGAACGTCAGGAAACTCACAGAAGACGCTCAGGCCAATAGCTTGGGATGTCTCACTCCCTTTGTCATTTTGCACCTTGCAGGAGTAATAGCCAGTGTCTCCCACCGAAACCTCATGGAAGACCAGGATCCGGGCGCTGCCTTCCTTCATCCAGATGTTATTCTTGTACCAGCTGTAGTGGATCTCCTGCTTGTCTTCTCCAGGGACGTCGCAGGTCAGCGTGACTGTCTCCCCTTCCCTGACACTGGAAGAAGGGCTGATGGACAGCACAGCCGCTGGAAGATTAGGGGAGAAGGAACCGTGAGAAAAAAACTAGTTTTGGTAATGCCATACTTGGAATGACCCCGGAATATTGCAGTACAACCTGCAGTTTTATCAGAGTATAGATTTAAAGCAGATGAATAAATGAGTAAGTTAAGTTAATTTGGAATATGCAGAAAATATATAAAAAAAGGAACTGCAGAAAGGGGGGGGGGAGCCGATTTTCAAAATGTTGAAATTATTGTAAAGTTATTGAAATGTATAAAATTCAAAACCAGAAATAAAAATGGAATGACCCCGGAATTAATGGCGCTGGTCACACTTCCCCTCCTTCATTGGGTGACACGCCTAGTCAAGGGACAGCAAAGAGCTTTGTAGCTCTATTTACCATGCTCTATTTACCATGCTCTATTACCATGCTCCAGCACCCATGGACACAGAATTGACCTGCGCTTCCATGGACAGCTGTGAGTCCAGAATGACTCCCAGGCTGCACACCTGGTCTTTCAGGGGCACAATTACCCCATTCATGGTGGATGGACAATATTGCTACCCATCCTGCTGTTCTCCAGATGTTGTGGGACTCAAATTCCCATCATCCCAGCCCAGTGGCCATGCTGCCTGAGGCTGATGGAAGTCTGAAATATCGACAGGCTTGCGTAGCATATTCTACTTAAACCTTGTAGCACATTTGTAATGATTTGCAAGATTCAGCTTACCGTATTTTTCGCACCATAGGACGCACTTTTTCCCTCCTAAAAAGCAAGGGAAAATGTGTGTGCGTCCTATGGAGCGAATGCAGGCTTTCGCTGAAGCCTGGAGAGTGAGAGGGGTCGGTGCGCACTGACCCCTCTCGCTCTCCAGGCTTCAGGAAGCTATCTGCTAGCCGTGGGAGACCCAGCTCTCCCACGGCTAGCGGAGCGCTGCATTAATCTCGAAGCTTGGGGCGTGCGGAGCTCAGCGCGCCCCAAGCTTCTGGGTGCCGGCAAGGTCTCCGTTAGCCGTCTAGCGGAGACCTTGCCGGCACCCAGAAGCTTGGGGCACACTGAGCTCCGCACGCCCCAAGCTTCGGGATTAGCGCTCCGCTAGCCGTGTCTAGGCTGCGGATAGCAGCCTGCTTCCCGGAGCGTCGGGCGCCCTGAAAGCAGAGCGCCTGGCGCTTCAGGAACACATCCGCAGCGTGGGGAGCCTTGCAGGAGTTCCCCGCAGGGCTCCCCACGCTGCGGATAGCAGCCTGCCGCCCGGCGGGTGGGGCACCCTGAAGCAGAGCGCCCCTCGCTCCGGGCATACATCCGCAGCGTGGGGAGCCCTGCAGGAGTTCCCCGCAAGGCTCCCCACGCTGCGGATAGCAGCCTGCTGCCTGGCGGGTGGGGCCCGCTGAAGCAGAGCGCCCCGCGTGCCAGGCAGACATCAGCCAGCCCCACAAGCTCGGGGGACAGCAGGGAGGCGCAGCGCCACTATCCCGCTGTTCCCCGACCTGGTTCAGTTTCCCTGACCTGCTTTTGGGGGGGAAATAAAGGGGAATTTTTTTCCCTTTATTTTTATTTTTTTTAAAAATTTTTTTTATTAGTTTTACAAAATTTTAAGAACAAACAAACACTTAAAAAGACATACAAACACGTATAATTTCATAATGTTTTTCATAAACCTCTTTTCTGAGACTCCCCCATACCCCCCCCTTTCTGCATCCCAATGTCCATAGTTTTGTAGCAACTCCCAATTGTTACTTTCCAACCTCTGTCCTTAGTTATCTCTGTAATCTGATCTTATATCACTGTATCCCTTTGTTTCTGAAAACCATAACACTCTAACATTCATCAAGTTTATAATAGTCCTTAAGATAACTTTTGAATTTTCTCCATTCTTCTTCCACCGTCTCTTTTCCTTGGTCACGGATTCTGCCTGTCATCTCGGCCAGTGTCATATAGTCCATCACTTTCATCTGCCATTCTTCCAGAGTGGGTAGATCTTGTGTCTTCCAATACTTTGCGATAAGTATTCTTGCTGCTGTTGTAGCATACATAAAAAAAGTTCTATTTTTTCCCTTTATTTCCCCCCCAAAAAACTAGGTGCGTCCTATGGTCCGGTGCGTCCAATCGTGCGAAAAATACGGTATTTCTCTTTAGCCACAGGGCAGTTCTCCATTTGCATGGGTACCATTCAAAACTCCCAAAATAATTTTAGGCATAAGCAAGAGATTAAGCAAAAGCAACAGCTGGACAATTGAAAGCAGAGGCCATATGGGATGGAGCCCACCTTCCCAACACATGCCATCTGCTTAATCTCCTGGTTTTAGATCACACCTGCACCACTTAAAGCAAAGAATCCTTGTTAAGAGATTCTGGGAACCATAGCTCTTTCGAGGTAAACTACATTTCCCACAATCCTTTGCTTTAAATGAAGATGCATGTAACTGGCTCAGAAATGAATAAATACGTACACAGATACATACACCAAATTCCCTCTCCTTGGTACTCACAGAAAACATAGAGGGTTACCCCTTCGGCCACGCCAGTGCCCACAGAGTTTTCTGCCTCACAGTGGTACAGGCCGTAATCCTCACGGGCAGCAGTGCTGATGGTTTTAAGTGGCTCGCTTCCGCAGGAGACTCCATCTTTGAACCACCTGTAGGCGGTGACTTCGGGGTTGCTGCTGTCCACAGTGCATGTCAGGGATGCCTCATCGCCCACTCGGATGTTCTTGGAGGAGGGGTTGAGCGACACTTTCACGCCTTTGGGGGGATCTAAGAGCAAGCGGAAGACTTTGAGACGAAGAACAGGAATGGCGGTGGCTCGCTGAGCGCAACATCCATTTTCTTGAGCACTGAATCCATCATAGGGAAATGAAGGCTGTCTTTTCATAAGAAGGTAAGGCCAACAGAATATCTATTCCAGCAACCGGTTCTCACAGTGGCTGACCACATGCCTCTTCTGGAAAACCCAGTAGAGCAGGATTCGAACACAAGAGCAACATTTCCCCCTCCTGTGGCTTCCGGGAACTAGGATCCCAGCTCCTGCCCACCTAACAGTTTGAAAGCATGTCAAAGTGCAAGTAGATAAATAGGTACCACTCCAGAGGGAAGGTAAACGGTGTTTCCGTGCGCTGCTCTGGTTCGCTAGAAGTGGCTTAGTCATGCTGGCCACATGACCGGAAGCTGTACGCCAGCTCCCTCGGCCAATAAAGCGAGATGAGCACCGCAACCCCAGAGTCGGCCATGACTGGACCTAATGGTCAGGGGTCCCTTTACCTTTTTTACAGGTTGGCAGCCATCACTGTCTTTTCATTATTAGGGTGCTGTATTATTATTAATAATAATTACAGTGGTAATTATTATTATTATTATTATTATTATTATTATTATTATTTATACCCCGCCCTCCCCAGCCAGAGCTGGGCTGAGGGCGGCTAACACCAGTAAAATTACAGTAAAAACATAATAGGAAAAGAAAAAAAAAACCAATTTAAAATACAGGTTAAAATGCAATTTAAAATGCAGCCTCATTTTAAAAGTAGTCCATAGATCAAAACCATAAGGAGAGGGAAACATAAGGGTCAGACTGAGTCCAAACCAAAGGCCAGTGGAACAGCTCTGTCTTGCAGGCCCTGCAAGTCAAGTCCCGCAGGGCCCTAGTCTCTTGGGACAGAGCGTTCCACCAAGTCGGGGCCAGGGCTGAAAAGGCCCTGGCCCTAGTTGAGACCAATCCAACCACCTTGCGACCTGGGACCTCCAAAATGTTGTCATTTATGGACCTTAAAGTCCTCCGTGGGGCATACCAGGAGAGGCGGTCCCATAAGTACGTGGGTCCTAGGCCACATAGGGTTTTAAAGGTCAAAAGCAGCACCAATGGTAACCTCTGGTTACGAACTTAATTCGTTCCGGAGGTCCGTTCTTAACCTGAAACCGTTCTTAACCTGAGGTACCACTGCCGCCACTGCACTATTTCTGTTCTCATCCTGAAGCAAAGTTCTTAACCCGAGGTACTACTTCCAGGTTAGTGGAGTCTGTAACCCGAAGTGTTTGTAACCTGAGGTGTTTGTAACCCGAGGTACCACTGTAATTAAACCTGAGGTACCATTCATTGGAAGATCACAGGGCACGTTACAGCATAACCACGCAAAATGGGAACACAAAATGCAAGAAACCCAAGAACTCTGCTCCCACAAAAACATAAATGGTTGCTGCTGGCACCCATCTATCTCAAGAGACAATGGAGTATTCACCTCCAGGGGTGAAGTCAAATCACTGTGTTAGCAGCACTCAAGTGACTTCTCTGGGGAGCAAGCCTGGGCAGTGTGTCTGGAGGTTCTGGGCTGCCCAGATGACAAGAAACCCCCCTCCCCACCTCGCTGATGGGGTCCAAAGGAAAACAGAGCAAGACGTTTGGCACCAGCTAGGCTGCAGGAGTTGCTGGAAGGAGGAGTAGAAGACGCCATCCAACCGTCTTAGGGACTCCACTTCAGATTTGTGTAGGGGGTTTACTCCTGAGCCTTTTCTTCTCCCAAAGATGTCCCTCAAGGCAGCTGAGGTTTAAGATCAGAGTTCCCTTCTCCTAGAGGGGCCACCTTCCCCGGTTGAGGAGCCTCATCTGCCCCTCACTTCCCTCTCTACAACATGTCCAGAACCGAATTCTTGCCTGTTGGAGCCACTCATGATCTCGTCTGCTCCGTTCGCCAGAGCCTGTCTTCGCATGCAGGGGAAGCCCCTAACTCACTTATTAACAACAACAATAACAACAACCGTTCTGTTCACCTTTCTACACAGGACTTAGACGTACAGTGGTACCACAGGTTAAGTACTTAATTCGTTCTGGAGGTCTGTTCTTAACCTGAAACTGTTCTTAACCTGAAGCACAACTTTAGCTAATGGGGTCTCCTGCTGCCGCTGCGCCGCCGGTTCACGATTTCTGTTCTCATCCTGAAGCAAAGTTCTCAACCCAAGGTACCATTTCTGGGTTAGTGGAGTCTGTAACCTGAAGCCTGTAACCACTGCACAGTCATACCTCAGGTTGAAGTTGCTTCAGGTTGAGCATTTTCAGGTTGCGCTCCACGGTAACCCAGAAGTCACGGAACATGTTACGTCCGGGTTTTGCCACTCATGCATGCACAGACGCTCAAAATGATGTCACGCGCATGCACAGAAGCGGCGAATCCTAACCCGCACAGACACGGGTTGCGTTCACTTCAGGATGCGACCGGGGCTCTGGAACGGATCCTGTTTGCATCCAGAGGTACCACTGTAGAACTAATTTATTTGTTGTCACTGATAACTGCCCCTCCTGGCCGCTCCATCCTCCTCACACGGATAAACTCACGTTTCACGTTGAGTGTGATTCTTCCCGTGGCCACCTGCTCCCCAACAGACACCTCGCAGCTCAGTTCCCGGTTGTGGTCCTTCCAGGACAAGGAAGTGGTCAGGGTTTGCTTCCTGAGTGATGCTGCTGTGTCCAGCTGCAGTGTTTTGGACACAAGCGAGGTCGTCGTGTCGTAGCCAAGCCATCTCATGGAGATGCTGTCATAGGGACAGGTGTAGGGGCTAGAGCAGCTGAAGGACACCTCCATCCCTTCGCGAAGGTCGTCCGGGGAGGCAATGGTGGGAATGTTGACCGAGTCTAAGGAGAAAAGGCAAAAGGATGGGCTTAGCTGAGCAGAATCTTCTGAGTTAGGAAGGATCAACTCTTTGCTCGTCTGAAGATCACAGGGCAGTTCACAACATAAAAATACAAAATAAGAACATAAAATACACCATAAAACACAAACCAACCAACAATATCATATTCACACAGATACAGATGACTGATCAATTGTCATTTGATTAATTGTAGATAGGAAGAGGGGAAGAGCGACACATAATTATTGGGGTGGGGGGAAAACATATGGGCGTTGTCAGGGAACTGCCATCGGAGCTAGAGGCGGAGGGAAGGCTCCAGATGGATGCTGGAGAGGGTCCTAGTAGGGAGAGAGGCAGCCCATCTACGGGGGAAGAAAATCAGCGTAACACCAGTGGAGAAGGGGGGCAGATGGGGGAATCGGAGGGGAGGCTCCAGGACTCCTCACCGGAGACCAGCGGAGAGAGTACGGGTACTCCGCTGCCCACACCCTCCCTGCGCAGGAGACTTCCACGCAGGGAGAGTAGGAGGAGACTTGGCGTCAAACAGCTTTTATGCTGGAAAAGGTTCAAGAGACGCCCACTGACGGATTCTGCCAGCGACTGAGACAGCCACGAAACTTGAGGCTGTCCAGACAGAGAGGGTTCAACTAGGCAACCTAGCCAGGAGTGGCAGTAACTTACGCACGAGTAACCCCTAGAACCATTACAGGCGTGATTTTCAGGTGGGATAAATTACATACCAGAAAATTCAGGTTGCGCTATTAAACCTGATTTGGCATTTTGCAAAAAGGAAATCGACTGGGAAATGAACTGGAAAGTGTAGGATAACTTTTGCTTGATACAACATGGGCTAACCTCCCTGTAGATCAGAAAGGCTGCTCATTAAATAGCCAACTTTGTCTAACCAGCCAATCTGGTTCCAGCCAATCAGGGTGAATGCTCAATAAACACATACCCTCCAACATTTGAAAATAGGGACATTCTGTTCCATGGTGGTGTTGGTGGAGGTGATCATCATCATCATCATCAGAATATTGCCCCAGCACTCTGGGTGGCTTCCAACGTATATAAAAACATTTATTTTTTTAAACTTCCCTATACAGGGCTGCCTTCAGATGCCTTCTAAAGGTTGTACAGTTACTTATCTCCTTGGCTTGGAGGGTAATTCCATACCCTCCAACACTTTTCTGATAAAAATAGGGGCATCCTAAGGAAAAGCGTGGCAACAAAGGTCCGTATAGTTAAAGCTATGGTTTTCCCAGTAGTGATGTATGGAAGTGAGAGCTGGACCATCAAGAAGGCTTATCACGGAAGAGTTGATGCTTTTGAATTATTGTGCTGGAGGAGACTCTTGAGAGTCCCATGGACTGCAAGAAGATCAAACCTCTCCATTCTGAAGGAAATCAGCCCTGAGTGCTCACTGGAAGGACAGATCCTGAAGCTGAGGCTCAAAGACTTTGGCCACCTCATGGGAAGAGAAGAGTCCCTGGAAAAGACCCTGAAGTTGGGAAAGATGGAGGGCACAAGGAGAAGGGGACGACGGAGGATGAGATGGTTGGACAGTGTTCTCGAAGCTACCAGCATGAGTTTGACCAAACTGCAGGAGGCAGTGGAAGACAGGAGGGCCTGGTGTGCTCTGGTCCAGGGGGTCACAAAGAGTCGGACACGACCAAACGACTAAAGCAACAACAACAAAGGAAAAGCGGGACATTCTGGGATCAAATCAGAAACCAGGACGGCTTCCGTAAATCCAGGATTGTCCCTTGGAGTGTTTGTAAACAGGTTGTTTGGAAGGTGACCTAAGGAAGACATCACAGGCTAAAAGCAGTGAGAAATGCACAAGCAGAAGTGAAGCTCAGCTCAGCTCTTATATCCTCTGTTTTTGAATATGGGACACAGGCTTTCCATTGCAAATATGCTTAAGTTTCAGATTTCAGCTCTAATTAGCTGCTCTCAAGTTTTGTGTGTTGTGTGTGTGTGTGTGTTTTTGGAGGAACAGCCTGAGAAATGCCTGGGCTAAAGATAGAATGAGGAACCAAGCAGAGTGCCTGTGCTGCTGGGTGTACACTGGGCTGGGAGGACAAATTTGTGCATAAACTCGGTGAATGGTTATCACTGAGGGGAAGCTGGCGATGGGAAGAGAATCAGCTGGAAGGAGACACCCCAACCTGCTTAAACAAAAGGGAATAGAAAAGGATGGTCTGTTTTGCTTAATGTATGTAGGGTTTGGTGTCAGCGTCGCTTGTGCCGGTTCTCTGCTATTCACTTGTGTTCCTTTGGTGGTGAGAGAGGTTGGGGTTGGCCTAGGGTGTGGTTGTTTGTTTGTGGTTGGCTGTGGTGGTCTTTGTTTTCATGTGTGAGTGGGGTGGGTGGGTGTTTTGGATCAGGTTAGCCATATTGATTTGTATGCTGTTGGTGGATTATTGTCATTGTCTTGTTGGGCTGTGTATGTGATAAAGGGGAGCCATACCGGGGTGAAGGCGTCTTCTTCTGTTTGTCCCTGTGTCAGTTTCAGTTTGTTGGTTAATTTTTCTAGTAAGGGCTGTTTCCCATACTATTGGTACCATTGCTCCATGCTTACTCCTGACAGGTCTCTCCAGTGTCTGGTTATGGTGTTTCTGGCTGCTGAAAGTAGGAACATCGTCACCCGACCCCACCCCACCCATCTTCCCCCACCCCACCCCTTTTCTTCCTAATGTCTCAACAAATGGAACTGATTTGTAAAAATGTTACATGGATAAAATACGAGAGACATTACACATACTTCTGTAAATCAAGAAAATATTTAATAAAAAAAGAAAAAAGAAAGAAAGAAAAGAAAGGGATGGTCTGAATGGGAAGGGAGATAAAAACACCACTAGATCAGGGGTCGCCAACGCAGTGCCCACGGGCGCCAGGGCGCCTGCCTGCACTTCCTCTGGTGCCCATGAAAGGCATCACACTGCCGTCAAAAATCCACAACGTGCAATGGACTGTTTCATTTTCCTGCTCAGTTCCTGGTTTGTGCTGGCTCAGCCTCTCCTACGAACCTCCTCAACAATGTCCACGTTTCTTTAACTGCCGGGTCTGGACACCCAACCTCCCTTCCATTCTAAACAGACAATTGAACATAAACGTGTTGGAAGTGTGGGATGTAATCCTCTGGAGCAGTCAAGTACAACATCTCCTGCTTGCCTAGAGTGAACATGCAGGGGAATGTTGGTCCAGCCAGTTGAACTTCCTGTTCCACCTGGGCTGGAGCATCCTTCCTTTTGCATGTGACTAGTAGGTGGGCATGACCTTTCCAAACCTGGTAGAAAGCCAAGTCACGTAGCCACCTCCCTCTCTCTTCCTTCTTTTTCGTCCTGCATGCTTTCTGCTTCACCTGGTTATCACCTATATGGGGTAAACCTGCTTGTACATACAGTATTTGTAAATTTAAGCCTAAAGCCTGCCTTCAGGGATCACCTGATCGCGAATAAAACTTCTTTTTGTTACTTTTGAATAAGACTGTTGTGTCTTTATTCTTTTAGGAGGGATCAAAGGGGTCTTACCAGGAATAACAGAACATACAGTGGTATCTCTGATTACGAACACTTCCGGTTACGAGCTCCTCTAACTCGGAAGTAGCTGCTCCTGTTTGCGAAATTTGCCCCAGGATGCAAATGGAAATCGCGCGCCGGAGGCCCCATTAGCGAAAGCGCGCCTCAGGATAAGAACGGTTTCAGCATAAGAACGGACCTCCGGAACGAATTAAGTTCGTAACCAGAGGTACCACTGTATTTCTGTTAAATCTTACATCTTTAGTCAGGAAGCTGCTTGGGGATCTGCTAGTGGTTTCTGGCTTTGCATCGTGCCGTTCAGAGTTGTATTTGGTACTGGGAGATGTAAGATAGAGTGATAATTGTATTTTAAAATGGAGTTTCAGAGTTTTTAGGGGTTTTTGAATGTCTTATGTAGATTTTTCAGTTTCATTGTTCTGTATGGGACAATGACAATAAAGATATCGTATCGTATCGTATCGTCCCCAGTACAGTGGTACCTTGGTTTAAGAACAGCTTGGTTTATGAACAGCTTGGATTAAAGAACGCTGTAAACCCAGACGTAGGTGTTTTGGTTTGTGAACTTTGACTTGGAATGAGAACATGTTTCGCTTCCTCTTGAGTGTGTTCCATTTGTAAATTGAGTCCCCTGCTGCTATGGGAAAGCACGCCTTGGTTTAAGAACGCTTTGGCTTAAGAACGGACTTCCGGAACGAATTAAATTCGTAACTAGAGGTACCACTGTATTTCAATCTGGGCAAGCCAGTTTGAATTGCTTATTGTCTCTCTAACGAGTCTGCAACCAGCTTCCTGCTGAGTAATAGGGAAATGTATGGAAGTGAGAGCTGGACCATAAAGAAGGCTGATCGCCGAAGAATTGATGCTTTTGAATTCTGGTGCTGGAGGAGAATCTTGAGAGTCCCATGGACTGCAAGAAGATCAAACCTCTCCATTCTGAAGGAAATCAGCCCTGAGTGCTCACTGGAAGGACAAATCCTGAAGCTGAGGCTCCAATACTTTGGCCACCTCATGAGAAGAGAAGACTCCCTGGAAAAGATCCTGATGTTGGGAAAGATGGAGGTCACAAGGAGAAGGGGACGACAAGATGGTTGGACAGTGTTCTCGAACCTACAAACATGAGTCTGACCAAACTGCGGGAGACAGTGGAAGACAGGAGTGCCTGGTGTGCTCTGGTCCAGGGGGTTACGAGGAGTTGGACACAACTAAACGACTAAACAACAACAACAACAAAGTGAAGAAACTTGCTAACACAAGTTAGGAAGGATAATATTAATCAATATATCCCACAGGAAGAGACCTGCAGCAGGGTCAGGCCAACGGCCCACCTCGTCACAGAGGCCACCCAGATTTCCATGGGAAGCCTGGCAGCAGAATCTGAGCACAACAGATCTCTCCCCGCTTGTGATCAGACTGTGCTTATAGAATTGTAGAGTTGGAAGGAACCCTGAGGTCATCTAATGCAACCCCTGCAATGAGCCAGGCTTGCTCTTTTGTTCACTTTTGTTGCCATCCCTAGTGGCGAGTGTATCTGTGTGCATCTCACATGTGTGCTGCATGCAGTGTGGGTGTACACACTCATCCACAAACAGATATATTGGCTGTGCCCATCCCTGGCATGTGGCCCTGACTATCAATACGGCCCTCATGTTGGAAAAGAATTTGGCCAACTGTGCTTTAGGTCAAAGCAGTCCAGCCAATCACAGCCAGGTCCTTCTGCCTGCCCTGCCTCTCTGTGACCTCAGAGCAGCTCAGCCAACCACAATCAGCAAACAGCCTTAACTCCATCACAAATCCCTGATGATAATGGCCTGCAGGTGGCTCAGTTGGTTAGAGCGTGGTGCTGATAAAGCCAAGGTTATGGGTTTGATCCCCGTAGGGGCAAACCACATATTCCTGCATTGCAGTTTGTTGGACTAGATGTCTCTATGATTCTATAAACGGCTTGGTTAAACAGCAGAGGGGTTTTTCCAGCTTGATACAGTGGTGCGCAGCCTTTCCTAACTTAGTAGCTTCCATTCAGTTGTTTTAAGCCAGGCTTTGCCCTCCAGATGTTTTGCACTCCAGCTCCCTGGCTGATGGGAGTTGTAGTCCAAAACATCTGGAAGGCAGCAGGATGAAGAAGGCTGGCTTAAGCCCTGAGGACGGGTAGGCTTAGCAAAAACAGTCGAGAGATCGAGATGCATCACAAAGCAGACTTTTGTGGGGAGGGAGTGTCTGGGTACTTACCGGTGACGGTTAGATCAACCCCCTTTTGATCGGACCAGCGGTTCCGCTCGCTGATTTCGAACCGGAAGGTGTACTTGCCGGCATCTGCGGTTGTCACACCCCTCAGGAGCAAGGTGCAGTTGCGCTGGAGGGGGTCTCCCAGCAGCTCTGTGCGTCCTTGAAACCCACCCTCAACGCTACCAGGAGTTGCTGAGTGGTAAACCAAAGCCTTCTGCCCTGTGTTTTCTTTGTACCAAATGGCCGTGATGCCATTTGGGACAGCGACGTCGCTGGGGTAGCTGAAGGTGCACGGGATGACGACGCAGGAGTCTTTGACGCTCCACAAATGTTCGGGGGTCGTGACAGCCCAGGAACCAAAGGCTGCAATAGGAATTATTATTATTTATTTATATCCCACCTTTTCCCCTGAAAGGACTTGTTACTGAAGGGGGAAGGAATGGGTTCTGTGCAGTCAGTCTGAAACGGGACCCAAAATCCTCATTTTTCCTCCTCCAAGGGAGCATTTCTAAAATGCATTAACTTGAGCTCTTGAGTCAATGTATAAACAGAAAGCCAGCTGTATAAACAAGTGCTCAAAGCCCTCTCCTTTATCAGCCCGTGACGGCAATGGATGGCCTTGCCAGTTCCAGTGGAGCAGGGATGGCACGTCTGGGTCTTATCTTACTTCCTGACCACAGTGACGCACAGACCTTGTCAGCCCCCCGGGAACGGCGCCAGGAGGCCTCTTAGAATTGGTGACCTTCTTACCCCAAGATAAGGAATACAGGAACAGGAACATCCTTTTATGGTCAAGAGTACAGGAACAGGAACATCTGTGATGTCAACTTACGTGTATAAGCTTACGTGTCTAGATTCCTGGGGAAGGGGGAGAGGGTGCCTGGAGGATATATATACTGCATGAAATCTCTCATTTCTTTGGACTTGCTGTGAACTGACCACACAAGTGCCTTCTGCTATCCAGAGAGCAGAATAAACTCTTTCTCTGAATCAACCTCGGTGTCATTTGACTCCTTCCTCCCTGTTCTGGGAGCAACGCTCACCCTACCAATCGGTAAAGTCTAATAAGGCTACATTTCAGCAATCAGGTTTAGTATTTAGCAAACATACCTTGGGCGACATAACTGGAGAATGCAAAAAGGAAGAAGGGCAAAGGCATAGCCGGTGGGAGCGGCTGATTCAAGGGCAAATTCCTGGAGGGGAAAGCAAAGCAAAGTTCACAGTTAGATTCAAGATCTCCCCAAAAGATGAGCACACCTTTGACCAAATGGGCCACGGAATGTGGAATGCCTGTGGCCCACCAGATGCTGTTGGACTACAACTCCCATCATTCCCTGCAATTGGGGCTGGTGGGAGCTGGGGTCTATGAGCATCTCAAAGCCTTCAGGTTCCCTGTCCCTGTTTCAGGGGGAGACGCCAAACGCTGAACCTGGGACCTTCTTTGTGCAATGCATGTGCTCGATCTCTGAGCTTTGCGCTTTCTCAATGTGCTGAATAATAATAATAATAATTTATTATTTATTATTTATACCCCACCCATCTGGCTGAGTTTTCCCAGCCACTCTGGGCGGCTTCCAACAAAATATTGAAATACATTAGTCTATTAAACATTAAAAGCTTCCCTAAACAGGGCTGCCTTCAGATGTCTTCTAAAAGTCTGGTAGTTGTTTTTCTCTTTGACATCTGGAGGGAGGGCGTTCCACAGGGCGGGTGCCACTACCGAGAAGGCCCTCTGCCTGGTTCCTTTTAACTTGGCTTCTCACAGCAAGGGAACCGCCAGAAGGCCCTCAGCGCTGGATCTCAGTGTCTGGGCAGAATGATGGGGGTGGAGACGCTCCTTCAGGTATACTGGACCGAGGCTGTTTAGGGCTTTCAAGGTCGGTGCCAACACTTTGAATTGTGCTCGGAAACATACTGGGATCCAGTGTAGGTCTTTCAAGACAGGTGCTATGTGGTCTCGGCGGCCACTCCCAGTCACCTGTCCAGCTGCCGCATTCTGGATTAGTTGTAGTTTCCGGGTCACCTTCAAAGGTAGCCCAACGGAGAGCGCACGGCAGAATTCTGGTGCTAGAGGAGACTCTTGAAAGTCCCATGGACTGCAAGAAGATCAAACTAATCCATTCTGAAGGAAATCAGCCCTGAGTGCTCACTGGAAGGACAGATCCTGAAGCTGAGGCTTCAATCCTTTGGCCACCTCATGAGAAGAGAAGACTCCCTGGAAAAGACCCTGATGTTGGGAAAGATGGAGGGCACAAGGAGAAGGGGACGACGGAGGACGAGATGGTGGGACAGTGTTCTCGAAGCTACCAGCATGAGTTTGACCAAAATGCGGGAGGCAGTGGAAGACAGGAGGGCCTGGCGTGCTCTGGTCCAGGGGGGTCACGAAGAGTCAGACACGGCTAAACGACTAAGCAACAACAGTGCGCACCCCAGAAATGATCTCTTTCAGCTTCTGCCTTCTGGAAGAAGGTCCAGGGTTATAAAGACTAGGACTAGCTGCCTGAGAAATAGTTTCTATCCAAATGCGATTTGGGTTTTAAACGCAGTGTAAGGAGTCTCTATGGGAATATATTGTATTTAATTATGGGGTATCAGAGTTTTTAGGGGGCTAACCAGGTTGGGATGGCTGGGGTAGCAGGCTTGTTGGTTTTTGAATGTCTTATGCAGATTTTTCAATTTCGTTGTTCTGTATGGGACAATGACAATAAAGATTATCGTATCATATCGTATCTAGGCAGTGGTTTCGACTAGATGGCTCTAGTCCAACACTACAATTCTAGGATTCCAACTGTTGCCACATAGCTCTGTTGGCTCCCACGGTGGCATATTAAAAACTAATGAATAACGGTTGACCTGGGCCTGACTCGCAGAAGTGCAAAACTATTCCTCCTCCTGTTACGGTTTCAGTGATGCACTATGGGCTGGGAAGGTCTATCAAAACCCAGCGACATCTAGGCATTTGCCTGAGCATCCCACTCAGACCTCCAGATAGCAAGTGGACCTGGGCTGTACCTCTCAGGTGGGGGCCATTGCAATTATAAGAGAACAAGGGAGGCGTTCGTGGTGAGTTCCAGCACCTCTTTTTCTAGAAAAATAGCACTGGGGACATCTATCAGGGAGAAGAGGAAGCGGAGTGTTGCTCTCCGTCTCCCGTTCGAAACGTCCTGTCTGTTTCCTGAACTCAGCCCTTGGCAGCAGCTTCCAAATGAGTTTCGTTTCTTCTCATCAGCCTCACCCATCTGACCCCAGAGCCCAAGTTCCTCTGCTCTCGGCAACAGGGCCTGACCAAGGCATGCCGAGTGTGGCTGTCTCTGATGGGCTCTGAAATCCAAAATCCGGATTAATGGCTTCAGTTTCCTTTGAGCAATCAACAGCCAATGGCCATTAACATCTGTACACACACACACACACACACACACACACACACACACACACAAAAGTGCCTTTTCCTTGCAGAAGTCTATCTCTGGTCCTAAAAGGATTGACGCTGGAAGGCAATTGCTGAAGCCCTACACTGGGAAATCAGGAGAGTTTTTGATGTTGTTCAAATGGATTTATTTATTCTGACATGTGTTTATTACCTATTTATTTAAAAGTAGCTATTTCATTTTTTAAAATCAAAGTGGCTTACAACAGAAATGCATAAAACCATACAGTAAAACACACACACACACACACACACACACACACACACACACATATAAGTTAAAAACGGACCTCAATTAACCATTATGGAAAGATGTATTCTTAATTGGCTGTCGGAACAGGAAAAAATAATAATCAGCAGGCGTTTCAGTGTTAAAACAGAAGGTGCCTGCTAAATCTCTGTTGGCAGAATATATCACACTTTTCCTACAAGGAGTTCAAGGTCACATTCATGGTTCTGCCTCATCCCATTTTTATCATCACAACAACCCTGTGAGGTGAGTTAGCCCAAGAAAATCTGTCTGATCCCTGGCCATCCAGTGAGCTTTGTGGTTGAGTGAGATTTGAACCCAGATCTCCCAGGTCCTAGCCCGACCCTCTAACCACTAAAGAATACAAGTTCTCTAATACTGTATTTTAACATGAAAAATAGTGCTTGCTGCCAGGGGTGGCGTGCAACACCAGCTACCCTGATCCAGAACACTGAAAACTGGTTTCTCTCTGTGTGTCTGGATTTCCTCCCCACCTCAGAAGGATAGAAGTGGAAAGTGTTGGACGTGGACCAGAGGGAGACCTTCATGAGTCTCCCTGCTTTGTTTTGAAGCACCAAGTGGCCTTGTTGCACTCTCTCTCAGCCCAACCTACTTCAGTGAGTCTAAAAGGCTGCTTTGTGATCTCGTGGGAGGAAAATGGGATGTGGGTAATACGGGATCAAGTCCTTCTTGCCTATCCATCATTCAAGCTTTAAAATGTTTTTCCATTTCCACTTGCGCATTTTATAGCGTCCGATGGAACATACCAAACTTTGATTGAGCCAAATAGATTGACATGGCTCCCTCTCTCTGAGAGAGGGAGGGAGGGAGGGAGGGGGAGAAAGGTGTGCAGCCTGGGAGTCATTTTGGACTCACAGCTGTCCATGGAGGCGCAGGTCAATTCTGTGTCCAGGGCAGCTGTCTCCCAGCTCCATCTGATACTCAGGCTGAGACCCTACCTGCCTGCAGACTGTCTCTCCAGAGTGGTGCATGCTCTGGTTATCTCCAGCTTGGACTACTGCAATGCGCTCTACACAGGGCTACCTTTGAAGGTGACCTGGAAACAGCAACTAATCCAGAATGCAGCAGCTAGACTGGGGACTAAGAGTGGCCACCGAGACCACATAACACCGGTCTTGAAAGACCTACACTGGCTCCCAGTACGTTTCCGAGCACAATTCAAAGTGTTAGTGCTGACCTTGAAAGCCCTAAGCAGTCTCAGCCCAGTATACCTGAAGGAGTGTCTCCACCCCCATCGTTCAGCCCGGACACTGAGGTCCAGCACCGAGGGCCTTCTGGCGGTTCCCTCCCTGTGAGAAGCCAAGTTACAGGGAACCAGGCAGAGGGCCTTCTTGGTAGTGGCATCCTCCCTGTGGAACGCCCTCCCACCAGATGTCAAAGAGAACAACAACTACCAGACTTTTAGAAGACATCTGAAGGCAGCCCTCTTTAGGGAAGCTTTTAATGTTTAACAGGCTACTGTATTTTAATACTCTGTTGAAAGCCGCCCAGAGTGGCTGGGGAATCCCAGCCAGATGGGCGGGGTATAAATAATTCTATTCTATTCTGGGGGAAGCCTGCAAGCAGGATTCGAACACAAGAGCAACTCTCTCATCCTGGTGTTTCCAGCCACTGGCATTCACTACCACCAACCATGGAGGCAGCGCATAGGCATCCTGGCTAGTAACCATGGATAGCCCTCTCCTCATTAAATTGTCTAATCCTCTTTTAAAGCCATCCAAGTTGGGGGCTGCCCCTGCCCCCTATGGGAGCACAGGCGCTGAGTTGAGCCCAACATGGTGCAGGGGGGTGAGGTCACGTCTCCCAATGTAGTGCAGCCCAGGGCGACATTCCGCCAGGCCTCTCCAAAGTTGGTGCCAGAATAATAGTGGCAAGAAATTGGAAAAAATGAAATCTTATCAACGATTACAGAGTGGCAAATTATTATGATAGAATACCTGCAACTAGCAAAATCGACTGGAAAAATTAGAGGAATGTCAAACCAAAAGGTATTTAGGGAATGGAAAATATTTAAAGAATACTTGAAAATGTACAGTACAAACTATAAGATGCTTGCAGAAATAGAGTGATACTGATAACCAAGAATTATCTAAAATATAATAGTGGATTTTATATATCTATATACAAAATAAAATAATATGAATCTGTGCAAGGAATACAGATAATATAAGTAGTATAATGAGAATTACTGGAAGTTACTATTTTACTTTGTTATGTAAGTGTAATATATTGTATTTGTTTATGTTTGTTTTTCTTTTCTTTTCCATTTGTATCATCTTTTGTATTATATGTTACATACATTTGTCTATGTGAAAATTAATAAAGATTTTCTATATATAAAAAAAGGTTGGTGGGGGGCTTAGCCCTGTCCCAGCAGATATTGGGGGTGGGTGGGTTGTAGAGGCCTCAGCCCCATGCGGTTGGCGTGCCTTTATGGGAGCAAGTGCCATAATTCAACTCTGTGCTGCATGAATAAGTTGTTGTGGTGATGGTGATGGTGATTTGTATGCTGCCCTTTACCCACAGCTCTCAGAGAGGGTGTTTACAACACAAAATCACAATGTAGAAACACAAAAAACATAATAAAAACAAAGACAAGCCAAGAATTCCCCCTTCCCCAACACATTTTAAAAGGGCATTGGATGTCCATCAGCCCAAGGCCTGGTTCATGAGGAATGCTTTTGCTTGGCACCTAAAGGTGTATAATGAAGGTACCAGGCGAACTTCCCTGGGGAGAGCATTCCACAGACGGGGAGCCACTGCAGAAAAGGCCCTGTTCTTGTGTTATCTGTCCCAAATCTTCCACTCCTCAGTTTCACTGGATGTCTGCAAGTGTTATGAGACGGAGAAAAGCTTTTCCCAATCCACTTTCTCTCCGCCATGCAGAATTCTCTAAACTCCCATCGTGTAACCTCTTACTCTGTTTCCCTCTAAACTAAAATGTTCCAAACGCTGCAATCTTCCTTCGTAGCGGAGCTGCTTCATAGCCTTTTCCAAACCTTTTCCAACTCTGCATACTCTCAAATAATCAGTAATGCTCAAGGCGGCTACCAATTGCAAAATAAGCACAACAACAACCAGTAACATGATTGAAATGGGTCTGCCTTGCCTTTTCCCAGAGAGCAGCTCCTCCAGCAACAGATCTCCGCGGTCCTTTGGAACTCTCTGCCACACACAATGGAGCGATGCTGCTTCTGGGCTTCTAAACGGGATGCTGGACCTCAAGGACAAAGGGGTCCAGGAGAATGCAGAACTTCTGGTCTGGGACAGCTTTATCTGCCTCCCGTTTTGGGAAGTCCCCCGTTGTGTCAGCTGTTCTCATTCTGGGCCCAATCACTTAAAACGCTCATCGTTCAGCACTGATGAGACATCTTGGGAGGGAGGTAGGAGGAGGAGGAAGAAGAAGCAGCAGGGAACAGCCTTCTGGGTTCAGTGCTGGGCACTGCAGTTCAAGATGGATGTGGGTGACAAGTTGGAGAGGATCCAGAGAGAAGCAAGAATGATAAACACTTTCTCAAGTCAAAGGAAGCCAGAAGTTTTTGGGGTTATGCAATTCCACAGAAGCTGGTCTCAGCTGGCTGCTGTCACACACAGAGAGTTAGGGATGTACTTAAGTTACAGATTAAACATAATCCTCCCTTCTACGGGGGCTTCGTTGACCAGATAAGAAGGACCCTGCAGCTGCATCAGGCCAAAGGGTCATCCTGTTTCCCACGGCGGACCCACCAAATGGGAAGCATGCAAAGATGAAGGCAAGAACACCATCCTCTTGATGGCTTTGCAGCAGATTCCGCTGAGAGATATGGTGCTTAGACCAAGTCAAACCGCTGGCCCACTCAGCTAGTATTCCCAAGCTTGGGCCTGTGTCCCTAGGCTTACGGTGTATTGAAATCAATTTTCTGTTGCTGGTTTTTGTTGTTCATATGTTCCTTGGGTTCTTTCTCCTTGTCCTACTTTGAACTTCCTTTAACAGTGTAATGCAGAAATAAAACCCGTTGCCTCAGTTTCTCAAGTGCTGCAGTGGCAGAGCATCTTTTGTTGTTGTTGGTTTTTGTTAGAGCGTATATTAATTTTCCAATAAGAACATCCAATTAACATGTCAAATCCAATAAAAATGAAAAACTAAAATAAAAAAGAGTCCAATTGTCTTCCAAATTATATCTTAATTTTACAACTTCCCACGGTCTGAATTCTGATGCATTTTCCAAATCACAGTCCTGCCTCTCATCTCTCATCAGTGTTTCCATAATTCCATATCAAGATTTTATCCAGGGCAGGGCATCTTTGCCGCATGCAGAATGTCCCAGGTTTTCAGTCTCCGATGGGATCTTCAAATAGGATCGAGAGAGCCCCCCCCCCCCCACGAAAGCCCAGAAGACCACTGCTTCTCCACGCAGCGCATAATCCACGGAATTCCCTCCCACAGGGCAATACAATAATTTGGAACTGTGTGTGAAAAACTAGTAGAAATAATAATACAATGAGTCTAATCGGAAGTCAAATGTGTTTATTTTGTTTTCTTTTTTCTTTCCCCTTCTTTCTTTTTTCCTCCCCCCCCCGTTTCCCTCCCCTTTTTCTTCTTCCTTTCCTCTTTTCTTTTTTTGTGCCTCCTTTCTTGGTCTTTCTCTTTTTGATTTGTTACGAAGGAGATAAAGAGATAAAAGTGTAATATGGAAACTTCAGTGAGTCAAAAGTGATGTGTAATTTTTCTGTTACTATTTATATATTGTTAAAATTGGTGAATTGTAATTAATTGATGTAACAATTACTGTGGTTCTTTCCTTTCTTATTGTTGAATTCTAAATAAAGTATTATTCTTCTCTTAAAAAAAAAAAAAGGAATTCCCTCTCACAGGGATGGCCACCAACCTGGATAGCTTTGGAAGAGGATTGTCTAAATTCACGGAGGAGTAGAGGGGCTAGCAGCTAGCCAGTGCAATTTTTTTTTAAAGAAAAAGAGGTGCCAGATCTCACCATGAACGCCTCCCTGTTTCTCTTAGAATGGCAATGGCACCCACTCAAGAGGCTCCAGAACCACCGGAGAGGTGCCGGAACTGAGTTCCGGCAAGTTCCTTCTGGAAAACCCCCCTGCTACTAGGCATGATGGCTCGGCTCTGCCACAACAGTTAGAGGCAGCAGTGTTTCAGAATGCCTAGTTGCTGGAAACCACAGGATAATAATAATATAATAATAATAATTTATTATTTATACCCAGCCCATCTGGCTGGGCTTCCCTAGCCACTCTGGGCGGCTTTCAACAAAATATTAAAATACCATAATGCATCAAACGTTAAAAGCTTCCCTAAACAGGGCTGCCTTCAGATGTCTTCTAAAAGTCTGGTAGTTGTTCTTCACTTTTACATCTGGTGGGAGGGCGTTCCACAGGGCGGGCACCACCACCGAGAAGGCCCTCTACCTGGTTCCCTGTAACTTGGCTTCTCGCAGTGAGGGAACCACCAGAAGGCCCTCAGAGCTGGACTTCAGTGTCCAGGTAGAACGATGGAGGTGGAGACGCTCCTTCAGGTATACTGGACCCCATATGATGTGTCTTGTGCCGTTGAACCAATCACGCAACATTCATTCCCTACTAATAAATCCTCAACACTTAAAATATAAATCCGGGGACATTAAATGAAATCCGGGGACATTCCGGAGACGGATTTTGTCTGGGGACAGGTTTGTAAATCCGGGGACAGTCCCCGGGAAACGTGGAAGTCTGGCAACCATAGTCAAAGAACCGAAACTGATCTCAAGGTTCCGCCCATTTTTTCTGCCATTCAGGTCTTTGGTCTCTGGGCTTTGCTGGACTCAGCGCATTCTTTCACTTTCCTCCAGAGGAAGTAGCTGTTGCATTATCAGGAAAAGAAACTGAGCAGATTATCAGATCTTCACGCTTCCCACGTGCAGGAACTGGGAGCTCTTTCGACCCGCTGCTGGTTTCAGCAAGGTCAGCACGTGAAGACAGCTGAGTCAGCCTCCCCCCTACAAGTCCCCCCACCAGCGGCATGTGATATGAAGGAACCAGAGCAGGAAGTCACAAGTGGCAGGAGAGGAGAGGAAGTGCCGGTGGAAGCATCAACCTGCTGAAAGCCGGTGCTCTCCGGGTGCCCACGGGAGTTGTAGTCCAACGCACCTGGAGGGCACTAGATCGGGGAAGGCTGCTGCCCCCTGTGAACCAAGGGGTTGGACTAGATTACTTTTCTGGATACCTTCCAGTTCTGCAGCTCCATGATTTATAAACTGCAGGAGGCTGGCAGGGAGAATGAAGGAATGAAACTCACTCTCTCCCCCACCATCACTTGGAAACTCTTTGCATTCCTCTCTGATAAGGGGCAAGGTCTGCTTTCTGTACAGGCATCTCCAGAATCTAAGACATTCTCTCTTCCAGGAGAGCATTCTGAACTTTGGAACTGAAAGCATCATATATATAATGTTGTTGTTGTTTAGTCATTTAGTCGTGTCCGCCTCTTCGTGACCCCATGGACCAGAGCACGCCAGGCCCTCCTGTCTTCCACTGCCTCCCGCAGTTTGATCAAACTCATGCTGGTAGCTTCGAGAACACTGTCCCACCATCTCGTCCTCTGACGTCCCCTTCTCCTTGTGCCCTCCATCTTTCCCAACATCAGGGTATTTTCCAGGGAGTCTTCTCTTCTCATGAGGTGGCCAAAAGTCTTGGAGCCTCAGCTTCAGGATCTGTCCTTCCAGTGAGCACTCAGGGCTGATTTCCTTCCGAATGGAGAGGTTTGATCTTCTTGCAGTCCATGGGACTCTCAAGAGTCTCCTCCAGCACCAGAATTCAAAAGCATCCATTCTTTGGCAATTAGCCTTCTTTATGGTCCAGCTCTCACTTCCATACATCACTACTGGGAAAACCATAGCTTTAACTATATGGGCCTTTGTCGGCAAAGTGATGTCTCTGCTTTTTAAGATGCTGTCTAGGTTTGTCATTGCTTTTCTCCCAAGAAGCAGGCATCTTTTAATTCTGTGACTGCTGTCACCATCTGCAGTGACAGAAATTTGTTTACCAATTTGTAATCCTAATTACAATATTTGGAATTTTTTTGGGGGGCGGCTCCTGCAGGAGGAGGGTGGTGCTCTTTGGCACCCCTTTATCAGCTGGCATCTCTTTAGGGGCAACCAAGGCTCCTCCAGCAACGTCTGAGGGGGGAGGGGACATTCCCAAGCCAGGCTTGCAAGGGAGGCTCGGCTGCCAGGGAAAATATTTACCCACTGTCAGTGAGAGGACATAACTCAGCAGCCAGGAATCTGTGAGGTCAGCGAGACCCTTCCAGCCCAGAGGTGGGTCAGCAGAGCTGAATTCCTCCTCCTGCTTCTCCGTCAAAAGGCTCAAGGCAATGGGATATTGCTCATACATATGTTTCCAGGAGTGTGTTCAGAGCTTTATGCTACCTCAATCTCTGGGCAGCGAAAGACTACAGGGGTTCCCAACACTTACCCAAGGTTTGGTTTCCTTGCAATGGAGCTCAGTGGAGTCTGCAGTGTCTTTATGATTTATGGTTTTATTTACATACATATAAAACCCGAGCACAAGTTGGAGGGGCTTACAGCATTAACACCCAGCTCTACCTCTCTTTCAAATCAGAACCAGTGAAGGCGGTGAAGGTCCTGTGTGAGTGTCTGGAGAGGGTTGGAGGATGGATGACGGCTAACAGATTGAGCTTGAATCCTGACAAGACATAAGAAGTGTTTTGGGGGGCTGGGGGACTGGGGGGGCTCCTTGGTCCTGAATAGGGTAACTGTGCCCCTGAAGGACCAGGTGCGCAGCCTGGGAGTCATTCTGGACTCACAGGTGTCCATGGAGGTGCAGGTCAATTCTGTGTCCAGGGCAGTGGCGTAGCGTGGGGGGTGCGGGGGGGCCGGCCGCACTGGGTGCAACATCTGGGGTTAGGGCAAATCCACAGGTTAGGGGGCGCAAATCCACGGGTTAGGGGGCGCAAATCCACGGGTTAGGGGGCGCAAATTGCTTTCCTTGCCCTGGGTGCTGACAACCCACGCTACGCCACTGGTCCAGGGCAGCTGTCTCCCAGCTCCATCTGGTATGCAGGATGAGACCCTACCAGCCCACAGACTGTCTTGCTAGAGTGGTGTATTATCTCCTGCTTGGACTACTTCCATGCGCTCTATGTGGGGCTACCTTTGAAGTCAATGGGACTTTCAAGAGTCTCCTCTAGCACCAGAATACTGCCATGCGCTCTCCGTGGGGCTACCTTTGAAGGTGACCTGGAAACCACAACTAATCCAGAATGCGGCAACACCGGTCTTGAAAGACCTACACTGGCTCCCAGTACATTTCTGAGCACAATTCAAAGTGTTGGTGCTGACCTTTAAAGCCCTAAATGGCCTCGGTCCTGTATACCTGAAGGAGTGTCTCCACCCCCATCGTTCTGCCCGGACACTGAGGTCCAGCTCCGAGGGCCTTCTGGCGGTTCCCTCGCTGCGAGAAGCCACGTTATAGGGAACCAGGCAGAGGGCCTTCTTGGTGGTGGCGCCCGCCCTGTGGAACGCCCTCCCACCAGATGTCAAAGAGATAAACAACTACCTGACATTTAAAAGACATCTGAAGGCAGCCCTGTTCAGGGAAGTTTGTAATGTGTGACATTTTGATGTATTTTTAATCTTTGTTGGAA